TAGAAAACATTTCCGAGCGAGACTCACGCGACAGTAACGAATGGTTATGGTGAATGTAGTTTGTAACGAACTAAAATAGTTTCATTTTATTTTTGTACAAAACACATTGAGTGTGTACAAATCAATTACACACCCGTGACGATTTCATTGCAGGGTTTTCATATAAATTGAATTGTTCTATACAATTGTTTTCATTTTTTACTATTGTATACTTTTAGTATACATTACTATGGAGAAAATGTAGAAACTGTCAATTGACTAGCAATGTTATGGTCATGGGGGTTTAGTTGATTTGATGGTATTTTTGACAAGCAATAATGTAAAGTGGACGGCTGTGTGTGGTGTGGCCACCGCAGCGAGCGGGGAGCTGCCCGCTACTAACTGAATTAAACCGGAATAGGTGCAATGTGTGAACTTTAGTGCAATTAGAGTATAATAATTAATTAATATATTTATAAACAGATACTTATTTAAGGCAGTTAGTTGATTTATTTATTACATTTAAATGAAATTGTGAATTTAGTATAAGATTGACATTGATGTAATTACTTTGGGCACAGACTATATATCTGACGTTTTGCTTTTTGCAATACACAATGTTTGTGGTTGATTTTTTTTTTAATACTATGGTAAAATGAATTTGTGTAGAAATAATTTCTTAAATGTTTTTTTATGATGAAATGTTTCGTGTATTATCTAAATAATACACTTCATGAATAAAACAAAATATATTTACAAGTTACGACATATACAAATGAGAGAAATGTACATTTTTAAATCATTTGAAATACTTTGTATATAATTTGGGATGTTGTAATGTATTTATTATCTTTCTTTGTAATTCGCAAGGCAACGGTTATATTGTAATTTATTTTAATTTAATTATGAATTTATTTCAATTTAATTGTTATAATAATTTATTCTGACTTAGTTCACGCAGTGGACATAGACAATTATATTGGACATTTTGTACATACGCTTAGGTAAATTAAATTAATTATGTAAATATAAATATTTGTGGCGCAGAAAGGTTTGTTTAGCAATATTAGTGTAGATAGAGAATGTGAGCGAGTGAGGAGTGACGAGTGACGACGTCAAATACAAATTAAATATAAGTGACAGTGGATGGGGCGCATTATTGTGCGGCTCTGGTTACCCGCATAGAGCTTGTGTCGTGATGGAATCGTGGTCGTGTCGTGTCGTGCAGTGTCCTACATCTCTGGTGCTAATTTGCGACATAGCGTGTAGTGTGGCTAGCTGCGAGTCGTGTTGACGCCGGAGCTTATAGTGTATAGGAGCGCTGCGGCCTAACTGCCTGTTGTGTGCCTCTAATGCTCACACACCACTTGACTAATGCTGCAATCTTTTGTTACAATAAAACTAATGCAAGTGTAACAACGTGCGTAAATTAAATGGAACAGAGATACTGTTTACCGATCTAGATAATAATATTCCATATTTTTATGGGACCTGCAGATGTCTTAAATTTAATCAGTTTTAATTCCATTTTAGTTCAGTGACATGTTTAAACATAAAACTTAATAAAATCATTAATTTTAACACAATAATATATTTTAGATAAAGATTGCATTATCAGTTATTGTGGTTCAATAATTTACTAAATGTGAACAATGTAGATCGCCCCACTCGTCATTGAATAGCCAAATAACGACAGATCAAACATTAGTTTATCTTTGCTCACTACATATTTGTATGAATTGAAGCTTTTCAATATAAGATGAATTTTTAATATAAAAATGAGGTAACACATAGTTTGTGGGAGTATTTTTGTAAGGTTTTCTTTAGTGAGAGATGTCAAAGGAATTGTTTACCCGGTGATGAGCGACCTATGCGTGTTTATTCTATGTGTATTGTTGACTGATTGCATAATTTATGGATGGGGTGGCAGTTGCGCGGAGCATTGTCTTTATTATTTAGTTTTTAACGACAATATTTAATAAGCAATCATAGCAAGTTTTGACTGGATCAAAAATATTTTTGATTGTGAATCGTGAATTTTATTTAATATTTACATGTTATGTGGAAGTAATTTTATGCACTCTGTGGTAAGGTG